GGAGCCCAGCAGGTCGAGACTGCGGTGGCCGGGAGCGGCCACGGCACTTCAGTCTGGGCAACCGAGTGAGACTCCAACTCAAAAAAAAAAAAGAAGGGCAGAACCCAGGTTATGAGCCCAGGGGGAAAGACCAAGGAGCTCAATTTGCCAATCTCTAGTTCAGAGCTTAAATTGGAAAGATTCATCCCTTTTAGACTCCCTGTGGTTCAGATATGCTCTAGTACCTCTTACTGGCATAAGATATGGAGATCTTCCTGATTCTGTATTGCAACTTTCTTCTCATAGAACACAGCAAACATCTAATGTGGCTCAACAGCCTGTGTGTTATACATATACACACATAACGTGGTGATACCAATACCTCTGCTTACTATCTGGGATATGGTAGCAAATGCCTGTTAGTATCATGTGGAGGTTTGGAGTCTGGACAGAGATTATGGAAAGGGCCTGATGACCTCTCTTGGGCTTAGGGAGTTATCTGCCAGTTTATGGATGTTACCATCTAACACATCTCAGGGTAGGGAAGACCAGGGCAACCCTCAGCTTCATCTCAGAAAGAGCTAGGCCCCTTGCCTTTGTAAGTGCTTCTTCTCAAGACCAAACACAATAGCAGTGGTGGAAGATAGAAATAGCAACAGATTTAGGAATTCAGGCTCCCATCAGGCACCCAGGTGAGAAAATGAGAGAGAGAAAATGCTTGGATATATCTGGGGCTTCAATTCTTTCTATCTTTTTTCTTTTTTTTTTGAGTTGGAGTCTCACTCTGTCGCCCAGACTGGAGTGCAGTGGCCGCTCCCGGCCACCGCATCCTCGACCTGCTGGGTTCCGGCGATCCTTCCTCCTCAGCCTTCCGAGTAGCCGGAATTACAGGCATGCGCTACCACGCCCGACTGATTTTTTGATTTATTGTAGAGATGAGGTCTCGCTGCCCAGGCGGGTCTCGAACCCGCGGGCTCAGGCACTCCACTCACCTCAACCTCCCAAAGGCGCGGGATTACAGGCTGAGCCACCGAGCCCGGCTTCTTTTTTTTTTCAGACAAAAGATTTCATGTTTATTACTGAGCCAGCCCACTAGTGCAGAGCACATAAACAAATAAACAAAAAATCACATCCCAATTAAACATGTCTGACTTCTCGACTGTAGAGATTTTCAACTTGATAATGGCAAGATGACGGTGACCATGATTCAACATAAATATATGTGCCACCTCATGTGCAATTCCTTATACACCCAGCTTGGTTCTTCTCCAATGTCTCCTCTTGCAGTTGTACCGGATTTTATTACCAGTTTTCATCCAAATCCACTGGGGAATGGGACGATTTTCCTTTTGATTCTTGGCAGGGAATTGCTTGATCCTGAAAGTCTTGTGAGAAGACATGGCGAGCAACGGAGTCCACCACGCACACCACAATGACACAGAAAGGAAGAGAGGATTTTTTTCTTGGAAAGAAAAGATTTACTTGCCCATGGGAAATACTTAATATTATCAATTTTTTTTTTTTTTTGAGTTGGAGTCTCACTCTGTTGCCCAGACTGGAGTGCAGTGGCCGCTCCCGGCCACCGCAGCCTCAACCTGCTGGGCTCCGGCGATCCTTCCACCTCAGCCTTCCGAGTAGCCGGAATTACAGGC